CCTGCTAAGTACTGCCCTTGCACAGAAATATATTTCATTTTTGTGTTAACATTAAAAAAGAAGCGAACTATAATAAAATGCACTTGCAAGCTACAACATGCATATGGTGATGAAATATTTAAGCATTCTTCAGTATTTCAGGGCAATAAGAATTGGAAAGTGGTAACATAAAAGTTAGCATACTACACAGGAATCAGATGTCCAAGCTGAATACTTAACAACAAGCAATAAACAGGGACATATAAGTAAAATATATCTGACACATTTGCATGGACCCATGCGCAAGAAAAAAAAGCCAAATTTAACAGGTACACACACACAAAAAAAAAAGCCTAATTTAACAAAAAGCACTTGCAAGCTACAGCATGCATATAGTGATGAAATATTAAAGCATTCTTCAGAATTTCAGAGCAAGAAGAATTGGAAGGTGATAACATGAAAGTCAACATACTCCACACGAACCAGATGTCAATGCTGAATACATAATAACAGACAAGAGACAGGAACATATAAGTAAAAAGTATCTGAAACATTTGCATGGGCCCATGAAAGGAAAAAAATGTATATAAATATACCGGGTGGCAATAATTAAACTGACAGTGCTCACAGTGTTCTGTAGCGCGATCTATTTGCAAGAATGATGCCACATTTTGTAGGAAGATTAAACAAGATGGGGGACGAAGGATTACGCAAAAAAAAAAAAAAAAAAAAAAAAAAAAAAAAAAAAATAGTTCCAAAAGTCACCGCTAGAGGAATATTTGGCGCTGTGTAATAGAATATAGAGTGTTAACAAATGCAAATTAATATGGAATAAAATTTATCGTAGGTCCATTTTTCTATGAAAACATTACCCCAATAGGACAGGAAACCTGTTCTCTTACCTGAGAGAAATATCGCCACATGTTGAACAGCTTTGTCATCCCAGCACTTCAGCAAAGACAATGCCTGGAGAAATCATTTTCATGCAAGATGGAGCCCCTCCACACGTTGCTATACGAGTGCAACAGACGCTACAACAGAAATTCACAAAGTCATTAGCTGCTACTTTGCAACTGCATGGCCACCACGGTCGCCTGATCTTTCCCCATACGACTTCTGGCTATGTGGTTACCTTAAGTCCAAGGTCTATCAAGGTGTGGTCCAGGACCTGGCTACGTTGAAGGATAACATATCAGTGACTGTAGGGGAGATTCCTGCAGACATGTTACTTTCTGCTGTTGTATGTGGTCCATAACAATGGCATTCACATTGAACCTCTTTTGAATGCAAAATAAAAAGTAATGGTTGATCTTTGGAATTATGGTAACAGGTAGTTTGGCAACATTTTGGAGGCGATAAAGGTTACTACCTAGGACTTTGATAATGTGAGAAGTACTCAGTTCCGATTACGCATTATTTTCTGTGAGGGAAATGAGAGATCATGAGATATGTCATGTGACATTAATGGACGATTACAGTTCTTTAATCAAAAAGGGGGGAATTTGGAAAAATATCTGCAGTACTAGTATTTGTATTAAGTCATTGTGTGTTGTGTGAAATAGTGTGTTGAATAATTTTCGGATTGCATGGCGCTATGTAAAGTGAATTCTAAATTTTTAATGCGTTTATCTGATAATAATAAGTTGTGATTGTGAAAGGAAGGATATTACAGATAAGTTTGAATGGCGGTGCAAGAAATCTGGTGAAAATGGACATTTGTGTGAAACGGAGTATAAGGAAGGTACGTGGTTGCTGAAAGTAGTTGAGTATGGGAAATTTTATAATTTCTTATTATAGGTGAATAGACTGCCAGTTGATACTGGATTTCGGATTTAGAAATTAGCAGTAGTACTGCAGCCAATTGGAACTCTTTCTGTAGGGAAGTGTGCCGCACGTATGAAGATTCTGAAGAAGATGGTAAGTAGTTTTTTAATCATTTGAGGGATATTATTTTTTATGCATTGTCTAAATGTAAGGAGTAAATAAATTATATGGTATATTGGAAATTGTTATTAGCAATGATTTAGTTTAAAGTAATAGGGATTGTAATCTAATTTTTATTAATTTAATGTATGTGCTTACTTATATTTTAAGTAGTGTTTTTAATTTAATCGTGTTTGTGAGTTATAGTTGTAGTATTTTGGAATACGTTTGAGGAATACATGATATTTTCATGCATTTTCGTGAAATTTCTAATTATGGGAAAAAAGCAGAGTGTACACGGATATAGTGAAGAGTGTGCGCATGCCATTTTTGTGCAATTCTGGATTTTTTTAGTAAAAATAGTCGACGTGAACTGTTTAGTTATTTTTAATTAAATGATTTGTTATTTTGCGAATTTATGTTGTAGAATTTGGTATGCGTTTTCAGTTGAAGTAAACATGCATGGAAATAATTTAATATTGACACTAAGTATTTGTAACCATTTTAATGTTGCGGTAGAAATTCGTTGGTGAGTTTTATAATATAATAGATAATTTAGAGGTAAAAGTTTTGGATATTTTTTTATATTTATACGTGGAAGGGTATATACTTTTTCCGATCAGGTAATTTCATATATGTTCTTTTTACGGATTTAAAGATTCACAAAATTTCGTGCATTTTCGTGATATTTTCTAATTTATGCAAAAAAGAAGTGACATGGATATAGTGAAGAGTGTGCGCAATGCCTTTTTGTGCAATTCTGGGATTTTTTTTAAGTAAAAATAAGTCGACGTGTACCATGATTTAGTGATATTTAATTAAATAATGTTTATTTTGTGAATTTTATGTTTGTAGGAATTTGGTATACGTTTCAGTTGAGTAAACGTGTATGAAATAATTTAAATATTTGACACTAAGTATTTGTAACTTTTTAATGTTTGCGGTAAAAATTTGTTGGTGACATTTATAATATAATAGATAATTTAGAGGTAAAAGTTTTTGGATATTTTATTTATTTTTATGTGGAAATGTTCATCCTTGGAAAGGGTATATACTTTTTTCGCGATCAGGTATTTCATATATGTGCTTTTTTCCGAGGTTAAAGATTCAGAAAATTTTCCTGCAAATTTTTGTAATTATGAGAAATAGCAGTGTAGATGGATAAAGTAAGTGTGTGTGCAATGACATTTTGTGGCAATTCTGGGATGTTTTTTAAGTAAAAATAAGTCGATGTGTAATGGTTTATGTGTATGTGCTATTCTGAAAAACTGCAAGGATTTGCGATTGTGCACTTTTTCCCAATTTTGCAGTTAATATTTGTCATGATTAAGCAGTTTTGTTACATAAAATTTCTAGCATAAATGTAATTCGGCTAGTATATTGTTGGAAAAAGTGTTGAGTAAATAAAAAGAAAAGAAACACGTCTTTACTTAGTGAAGACAAAATGGCGGCGAAAAAAAAAAAGAGGGTTGCTGTAGCAGAGTTGGTCGCCAAATTTTTGCCAAAAAATCGTTAAGTTACCATAATCCAAAGATCAACCAAAGTAATTTTCGTATTGATTTGCATTTGTTAACACTCTATTTTCTATTACATAGCGCCAAATATTCCCCTAGCAGTGACTTTTGGAACTATTTTTTTTTTTTTGCGGAATCCTTTGTCCACCGTCTTGTTTATCTTCCTACAAAATTGGCATCATTCTCAGAAATAGATTGGGCTACAGAACACTGTGAGCACTGTCAGTTTAATTATGGCCACCCATTATATATGAAAGCAGTAATCTTAGCACAATTCTTTGATTTTTTTATAGATGAAAAGTTACTTATCGAGAAGATTTTTATAGATGAAGAAGTTACTTATCGGATGGAAATTGGTAGTTTTCACGCATTTATTTCAGAAAAATTCCGAAACTGTCGGTATTTATTATAAATCGGTAAAAATTATCTATATATCAAAAGAAAGTATACTTGAGAATATAAATTTGAATTACAAAATAAGAAATTTGTGATGAATTAAAAAATAAAACACATTCTTTTTCAAATATCTCTGTTATAATTTTACACTCTTCTCCCCAAATACAGAGCTATCTGTTTTTCCCAAAACAAAAAGGAGAATGGGGTTCATTCAGTACTCCACTAATCAGAAAAAGCATTTCCTCATTGTTACATTTACAATATTTTCATCAAATTTCTGTGTTCTTACAGAAACTTTATTGCAGAATTGTGGAAAAATTGCTTGCACTTTCTCTAATGCCATATTTTAAAACTAAGGCAAAAAATATCATGATATGTTTATAAAAACACTTGGACTTTGGAATGCAACAAAAAAGAATGCCCATAAAATGACAGAACTGCTTGATTGAAGGATTATTATAAGAATGATTGCTGGTAGAATGGTTTTGCACAATATTGCCAGAGTTTGGCATATACTGAAAATACGGCTACTTTTTTAAGCAGGCTGCATCAACACGTAAATACCACAAAAAGAAACCTTACTTCCTCATGAAATTTCGATTTCTTTCAAAGACACTACAAGCTGCATAGTGGCATCAAGTAAACAGTTCACAAATAATTTTTTAAACATTCGATACTGAACACATAATCTTGCAGAAATCTAAGTTCTAAGCATTCTGAACATTATAAATGCTAATGCCAAGGAGAAAAATACTTAAGTCCTACAGCAGTATAGATACCACAAAAATATAAATTTTATATTATGTACTTTTTAGAAAACGCATTGAGAAAATGTATTCTATTCAGTGCAAAATGTGAATGAAATTTCCATTCAAATGAAAATATTCAAGATTGCAAGTTTTCAAACAATTCATGACTTTACCTGAAAGGACGGAATGCGATATCAATAAAATTATCTTATTCAAAACAGTATAATCAGTGTCTAACTTTTCATTGTTTGTATATGATGTCTTCAGCTTTCATTACTCGTTGATGTATGAAAATGTTGCTTTAAATCAGCAGTTTAAAATGACTTGTGAAATGACTTATCTCACAACCATCAAGTTTCTTTCTCTCGGATACAACTGATTTCTTAAAAATTGAAATGAAACAACAAGTTAAACACACCATATACAAAAACATTTCTCCATAGCACGGACAGGTATTTATTGCACACATAAACAAAGGTTCTTATTAATCTAACTTTTCCACTAAAAACATTAGCCTTCTTATTATGCGTTGACGGTGAGATTTCCAATTTTTCTATAACCCAAGTGATTTGTTACACAGCTACCTTATGAAGTTTCCCTCTGGGGTGAATAAAGTAGATGCTTTTTTAAACTAGATTTTTGAGTAAATGACTTATTACATACATCACACACATAAGGTTTCTCTCCTGTGTGAAGAAGCATATGGTTGATTAAAGTATAGTTACAAGGAAATGACTTGTTACATACCTCACACACATGAGGTTTCTCTCCTGTGTGAAGAAGCATATGCCTGTTTAAATGATCTTTCCGAGTAAATGACTTGTTACATACCTCACACACATAAGGTTTCTCTCCTGTATGACAAAGTACATGCTTCTTTAAAACAGAATTTTGAGTAAATGACTTTGCACATATCTCACACACATAAGGTTTCTTTTCTGTGTGAATAAGTAAATGTCTGTTTAAATAATATTTTTGAGAAAATGACTTGTTACATAACTCGCACACATGAGGTCTCTCTCCTGTGTGAAAAAGCATATGCCTTTTCAAATCACGTTTCCAAGCAAATGACTTGTTACATACCTCACATACATAAGGTCTCTCTCCTGTGTGAAGAAGCATATGCTCGTTTAACTGAGCTTTCACAGTAAATGACTTGTTACACACCTTACACACATGAGGTCTATCTCCTGTGTGAAGAAGCATATGCCTGTTTAAATCAGCTTTCCGAGTAAATGGCTTGTTACATACCTCACACACATGCGGTCTATCACCTGTGTGATAAAGTATATGCTGCTTTAAATCAGATTTTTGTGTAAATGACTTTGCACATACCTCACACATATAAGGTTTCGTTCCTGTGTGATAAAGTATATGTCTGTTTAAATCCGATTTTTGAGCAAATGACTTGTTACATACCTCACACACATGAGGTCTATTTCCTGTGTGATAAAGTACATGCTTCTTTAAATGAGATTTTCGAGTAAATGACTTCGCACATACCTCACACAAATAAGGTTTCTCTCCTGTGTGAATAAGTATATGTTTGTCTAAATCACTTTTTTCAGCAAATAACTTGTTACATAACTCACACACATGAGGACTCTCTCCTGTGTGAAGAAGCATATGCCTGTTTAAATAAGCTTTCCTAGTAAATGAATTGTTACATATATCACACATATGAGGTTTGTCATCTTTGTGAAGAAGCAAATGCCTGTTTAAATGAGCTTTCCGAGCAAATAACTTGTTACATACATCACACACATGGGGTTTCTCTCCTGTGTGGAAAAGCATATGCCTATTTAAATTATCTTTCCGAGTAAATGACTTGTTACATACCTCACACACATGAGGTCTACCTCCTGTGTGATAAAGTATATGCTTCTTTAAATCAGATTTTTGAGTAAATGACTTCGCACATACCTCATACACATAAGGTTTGTTTCCTGTGTGAATATGTATATGTGTGTCTAAATCACATTTTTGAGCAAATGACTTGTTACATATCTCACACACATGAGGTCTGTCTCCTGGGTGCAGTAGCATATGCTCGTTTAAATGACTTTTTTGAGCAAATGACTTGTTACGTACCTCAGACACATGAGGTTTCTCTCCTGTGTGCAGAAGCATATGCTTGTTTGAATTGCCTTTTAGAGCAAATGACTTATAACATACGACACACATAAGGTTTCTTTCCTGCACGTATAAACTTATTCATGTTTAAGGTGCAATGAATATGCCTTAAACATGCCATTCATGTTTAAGAATTCCATATGAATTCTTAGATGACTTCCCATTCTTATATGACCATCATGCACAAGTTTTATCTCTGGTATGTATATGCAGTTGCTTGTGTAAGAAACCATACTGTCTAAATGGCTTCTTGTCTACCTGACACACGAGGTTCGTTTCCTGTTTCAATAACTATATAATTGTTTAAATAATTCTTTATTCTAAATGACTTGTTTACACACGGCACATGCAAAGTAGAGAGATGGTCTTGTCTTGTTTTGCACCCGCTAAGTCTTTCTGCACAGATGGGCGAAAAATCAAGCATAGGTGCGGAGGAAAGGTATATAGACAAAGGAGGTTAGAATACATTAAGGCTCCTCTAAACCAGGCTGAATCACCAACTTTTCTCTCTTGGCGAGGGAGTGAACGCGCTGCCAATTTTGGCGCGTTTATCGCACAAGCTGGCTGAATGTCTGCTGTTTTTTTTTAAAGATTTATTTTATAGACGCGCGGCATTCAGCGCATATAAACTTTTCGGATAATTTATTAATTCTCGAATAGTATATAGACGTTTTCACTTAAATAAAAATTTCGCGTATATTTTGTAAACATATTCAAAATAACTTATTCTTTAGATGTTTCAGTTTCGTTAGCAGACTAAAATAAATAAGATATGAATAAAAACTTTCAATAGTGTCAAATGGGGAAATAGTTAAAGCGTAGAGTGTGCAAATAAATTTATCTTAATGACATTTTAACAAAAATTTCCATAAAAACACTGTAAATTCATACTAAAAAAATAACTTAAGAATATGTTGTCATTTAAGTCTGAGGTATATGGAAATAATTGTGCAAGATTCTGAAGAAACACTTTCTTTTAAATGTGTGAAATATTTCATAACATATATGGAAGAAGAAAGTACAGCATTCTGTGTTTTGGATGCTTTTCATCAAATGTAATATAAATACGAACTAGAAACCGTAATAAAAAGTCCTTCCTCTTCAATCAGATCACCTTTGTGTTGCATTGTATTTGTAATACTTCTAAAAATCCAGTTTTTACCTAAATTAAAAAAACAGTTATTCCATAAAAGATAATAACTTTGAACGTATATAGAATGAATTTTGTAATTTGAGTTATGTTACAAAATAATTCATAGTTTATATATTTTATACTAATAATTTAGAGATAAAACCTGTCCAATTTAAGAATGTGTGTTAACCACATTCTTAAATTGTAAAAGGACGACTTAACCACATGTAATTCATTTCAAAGCATAAAAGAAAGCTTATTTTTTATTTTACACAGCAACAGCATTTTCATGCAGTCAAGTTTTTTTTAACTGCTAGTTATTATACATAATACTTAATTTTAAACCCATTCTTATTAGAAAGCATAACTAAGAAACTTCTTTTTAAAGCACCACAGTGATTGCAAAGAATGTCGTTAAATTTACAAAAGTATTGAAGATATATTGAACAGCATTATAACAAGAAAGTACTGTACAAAATATGTAAATTTAGCATAACTTCTTTTTTAGTATTTGCATAGTTTCCTCCAAATGAACCTTAATGGGAAGTTATCTTGCGAAAATTTAAAAGTATTAAAATGGCCTCTATTTAAGATGTAACTGCATTTATAATTATTTTGTAATTGCGAATAGATTATATTATTGCAATTAGATTATGCACTTACAACATAATTGCATAAAGTAATGAAATTAAGAGTTCACAGATACAATGTAATATAATTACAATGCAATTACCTAAATTGTAATTATAATCACTTATTTAATACCACAATATTATTACAATCACAATGTAATTTAAATTGGGTACTATATTTGCATACCCTCCACTCAAAAGGAGGTACTGATAAGCCTGGAAGTTATTATCAACAAAAAGCCTGTTCAGGACAGTTTGATGACAATTTCCACCGGGCGAAAAGTACATTCTTAAGCCCAGGCAAATCATGACAATAAAAATCATTTAGTCTTATGATTCACTATATTTTTAAACCCTAAATTTGAATTCTGCACCAAATTATTTACCTATATTTTAACATACTTTATGAATTATTAGAAGCGATATGGCAAATATCTTCTAAAAATAACTGTAAAATATTTGTATCCATTAATTGATTCAGATACACACTTTTATTATTTAAGTATATCAAAATAACAGTTTCATGTTCCTGAAATACAAAAATTATGGAAAAAGTTAAAGTAATATTCTTAGAAGCATATGATATTAGTCACCAGATGCAAAATTATAGTTAATTTTTTGCCCTAAATACAATTTTATTACACAGTAGTCAAATGTGTAACTTAATAAC